CATCGCTGCCCTTCTCTTTCTAGTAGTAGTCGCAGGTTTGGCAGGGACTGTTTGAGGAGACTTAGTGAGTAATGCAGTGCATCTTATAGAATATAGACACTACCACCACTGATGAAGGGTGTAAATGTTGAACGTGGTGATAAGAAGGCCAGTTAAGTGAGCCACTTTGACCTGCATGGATTTGAGTTTCTTGAGTTTCTTAAATACAACGTTTCCTGTCTCAAACCTGCTTTTGCAGTGACAATATTAAAATGATTAGTTCAGTTCAATTTCTCATCAATGGTAACACCTAGACTGTTGATCGTGGCGGGATTCAGCAATGGTAATACCATTGAACATCAAGGAGTGACAGTTAGATTTTTCTCTTGTTGGAGATGATCATTGCCTGACAGTTCAGAGGCACGAAAGATATTTACCACTTATCAGCCCAATTTTGAATGTTGCCCAGTCCCTGCTGTGGATGGGCACAGACCATTTCAGTGTCTGAGTTGTCAAGGATGGTTTAAAGTTTTGCCAAAAGATCGGTAGCTCAGGTTGTGGGTGAGGTTGTTGACTTGCTCACTGAGCTGACTTGTTTTTGTTCAGATGTTTCATCACCATGTTAGGTAACATCTTCAGTGGAGCCTCCGATGAAGCGTTGTTATTCTACTCCTTTATTAATGGATGGGAGAGTATAAATTCCATGCAGAGTAGAATAGCATAGCTTCATTGGAGGCCCCACTGATGATGTTAGCTAGCATGGTGATGAAACGTCTGAACGAGAGCAAGCCAGCTCGGCGAGCATGTCCACAGCCTCAGTCGAGAATGGTGCTGAGCATTAGTGAAAATCCACTGGAAACATGAGATCAGGAGTTGAGTGTTCCTGTTGCAATCCAAACTGAGTGAAATTGTGACAAAAATTCTGAAGAAGGGTTGCTGGACTGAAAACATTAACTCTGCTCTTATCGCTACAGCTGCTACCAGACCCTTGTACGTTCTACTGGGTAGCACTATCGATGACCACCCACCCACACCCACACCCCCACCCCGCCCCGGTTACTTTGCTGACGAATGAGAGTGGACACACAGAGCAGTAATTGGCCTGGTTGCATTTGTCCTGCTTTTTGCGTATAGGACATACCTGGGCAATTTTTCACATTTCTGATGAAGGGTCTAGGCCCGAAACGTCAGCCTTTCTGCTCCTATGATGCTGCTTGGCCTGTTGTGTTCATCCAGCTCTGCACCTTGTTGTCTCGGATTCTCCAGCATCTGCAGTTCCTACTATCTCTGATTCAATTTTTCACATTGTTGGATTAATGCCAATGTTGTAGCTCCATTGGAAAGTTTGCTCAGGGACTCAGCCAGTTCTGGACAACAAGTCTTCAGTATATGGCCAGAATATTGTCAGGGCCCATAACCTTTGTATCATGAAGTGTCTTCAGCCATTTTTTTGAAATCACAAGCATTGAATTGAATCGGTTGAAGAATGACTCCTGTGATGCTGGGGACCTGAGGAGAAAGTCAGCCATTGATCAACCACTTGGCACCTCCGACTAAAATTGATGCAAATACCCTAGTTGTGTCGTTTGCACTGATGTCCTGGGCTCTTCCTCATTGACTTTAGGGAAATCTGTTGATTTGCTTTTAGTTGTTCAGTTATCCACTGCTATTCTCATCTGGTTTTGAGTTAGATCTGTTCTGTTAGAATCCCTACAATGCAGGTAGAGGCCATTCAGCCCATTGAGTGTACACCAACCTTCCAAAGAGCATCCCATCCAGACCCACCCCAACCCCATATCCCCGCATTAACCATGGTTAATTCACCTATTTTGCACATCTCTGGACACTACAGGACAATTTAGCACAGCCAGTCCACCTAACCTGCACATCTTTGGACTATGGGTGGAAACTGGAGCACCTGGTGGAAACCCATGCAGACACGGGAAGGATGTGTAAGCTCCACACAGACAATCATCCGAGGCTGGAATCGAACTTGGGTCCCTAGCACTGTGAGGCAGCAGTGCTAACCCCTGAGTCACTGTGTTGCCCTGTTGGTGTGGGATCGTTTAGCTGGGCTGTTTGTCCTGTTTTTGGCACATAGTTACTGCTGTGTTGTAGCTTCTCTGGATTGACAGCCCATTTTTAGATATCCTCCTGGCATGACCACCTGTATGCTTTAGTGAACCAGAGTTGATCTCCAGGCTTGATGGTTATGGTAGAGTGGGGTGTATGTTGGGCCATGAGTTTGCAGGTCGCGTTAGCGGAAGATTCTGCTGCTGTTGATGGCCCATAGCGCCTCATGAATGTTCAGTCTTGAGCTGCTAGAACACAGCACAATGTAAAATACTCTCAATTTGCAAGCGGGACTTTGTTTCAAAAAGGACTGAGCAGTGGCCACTTCTACCAATGCTGTCAAAGACTAGTTACTACAGGTAGATTTAGTGAGGTGGAGGTCAGGTACGTTTTTCCTTCTTGTTGGGTCCCTTTAGCCCAACAAGTCCACACCGACCCTCAGAACATCCCACCTAGACCCATCCCCCTGTAAACCCACCTAATCTACACATCCCTGAACACTACGGACAATTTAGCTTGGCCAGTTCACCTAACCTGCACACCTTTGGACTGTGGGAGGAAACTGGAGCACCTGGAGGAAACCCACACAGACACGGGGCGAATGTACAAACTCTACACAGACAGTCGCCCGAAGGAGGAATCGAACCCGGCTCCCTGGTGCTGTGAGGCAGCAGTGCTAACCACTGTACCACTGTGCCACCCTATGTGGTGATGTACTTCCTCCATCTGGTGATCAACAAGGAGGAGTGCAGTTTCATCAACTGAGGGATGGTGGGAGGGTATGTGGTAATCAGCAGGATTTCCGAATCCATGTTTGACCTGTTTCCATGGGGCCCAGAGTTAATGTTGGGGACAGACTCCTTCCTGACTTGTACCATTGTGCCACTCATGCTGGAACGACAAGATATTCCCAGATGGTGGTGTTTGGATCATTTCCTGCAACGTATTTGTATAATTATGACTAGACAGCTCTCCCAATTTTAGCTCAATTCCCCAGATTTTGGTAAGGAGAATGTTGCAGAGTCAACAGGGCAGTGTTTGCTGTTGTCATTTCTGGTTAGGGTTAGGGTGCTTGTTTGTCTCTCTGGTTTAAGACCATAAGAAATAGGAACAGCAGTATATCGTTTGGCCCCCTCTGGCCTGCTCTGTCATTCACTAGGATCATTGCTGATCCAAAACATCTCACACCCACTTTGCTGTCCTTTTCCCACAACCCTTGATTTCCCTACTGTTGTAGTAGTTTGATATAACTGAGTGGCTTCCTTGCGCCACTTCAGAGGCACATAAGAGTAAACAACATTGCTGTGGGTCTGGAGTCAAATGTGAACTATACCAGGTAAAATTTCCTTCTCTAAAAGGTATTAGTGACCAAAATTGGTCTTCACAACAGTTGACAGTGACTACTGAATACCATTAGGCTACATTTAAATTCCAAATTCATTGAATTAAATTTCACCTCCTGCCCTGGTGTGATTCAAACCCATGTGCTCAGAACGTGAGCTTGGGCTTTTGAATAACTGGTCCATTGACCTTACCACTACACCACCACCTCCCCTTTAAGATGATAAGAGAGAAAGATGAAAACTAGTTTAATAGATTGGAGTGAAATAGATTTTGAGGGGCTGAGTAAACAAATTGTGAAAGCAAACACTGAAGTAAAATAACAATAGAAAACATTTAAAAACGTGCTCAACAGAATGCAGGAGAATTCTGTTTCTCTAAAAGGAAAGAGAGAAACGAAACAGTAGGAAGACTCCATGGATGAATAAAGACCTCAGAATAATTGAGGGTTAGGAAAGAGTCATATGTTAAGTTCATAGATTGCAGAGGAGTACATAATAAGAGAGAATTCAAAGAGATTGTGAGAAATAAAAACAGAAGACAATTAGGCAGGCAAAGAGGAACTATAAAATTAAATTATGAACATAAAACGAAATAGTGAAACATTTTATAGGCACATCAATAAAAAACGTAAGGCTGTGACAGGAATAAGATCTTGAAGAGATAGACAGGATAATGTCCCAGGTGATGACAGAGAGATGGCAGATGTGTAAAATAATTATTTTCCAGGGAGCCAGAAGTAGATGAGCAATCAGATGATACATTTGAAATTTTTTAAAAGGATCTATTCAACAAACTAAATAATGCAATAAGTAACAGGAATGCGTCAACACATTTACAGAATTGGCAAATGAAGTTCTACACATAAATGTGTGGCTGTACATTTTGGTAGGAAGAATATGAAGGTCATTTATTACTTGGAAGGCGTAGGTCTAGGTGGGTAGAGGGGCAATGAAATCTTAAAATATAAACACCCCCATCACTCACTGCAGGTTTACAAGGCCCTAAGATACAAACTAAACACTAGACTTTATTTCTAGAAAAATGGAATTGAGAAGTAGGGGAGTTATGTTAATGTTGAAAATGAAAACAGGTGTAATATGCATGTCCACAATTTAACCTGTTCTCCCTAACCTGCTTTTTTACAGCGCTGCATTTGCAGAACACATCAAAGTAATGGATTAGGTGTGTCTCTGTGGATAGATTTCAGAATAGTGAACAGCAGGACAAATTTGTCCAGATTCACTCACTATTACACATGATTACCTAGAACATGTGGGACAGAAACAGGCCACTTGGCACAACCAGACCATGCCGACCTTTCTGCTCCCCTCGAGCCTCCTCCACTTTTTTTTCTCATCCATTGTAACCATTTGTTCTCTTCTCCCCTAAATACCTATCCAGCTTGTTCTTTAAAGCATTTATTCCATTTGCTTCTACCATTCCCTATGGTATCATATTTCTCATTATTGCTGCTGTTAGAGTGTCAACGTTTCTCTGAATTCTATACTATTTTCTTGGTGATTATCTTATACCGATGTTCTTTATTCTGACAATAAAAAGGAGGGCTAGGAAAGGTAATCTGTAATGTCAAAATGAGTACAATCTCTGTACGTTATTATGCCTATTTTCATTTCTACAGTTGGATCCTGAAAGCACAAGGGAGATTATGGAAGAGGTTGTCCATAAATCAGCCCTGATTTCAGAACATGTTGGACTCTGGTCACTGCAGAGTTGGGTGTAACACAGCACTTGAGATTTCCGCAAAGTTCGTTCGTCTAGATACAAACCTTTTGAAGAGCTGGCATTAAACTGCACACTGACCCTGGTGTAGTGCAGGGGGTTGGGGAAGATGGGGTAGTTTGTGGAGTTGTGCTGAGGAGGAGGAGAATCAGTACAATACAAGAAGTGTATCACAGACTGAAAGAAAACTGCCACAGCAGATGTTGCATTGCACTGTCCTAGAAACGTTCTTCATAAGTTTTTCAAAACTACGAGATGACTGTATTCAATCACTAATAACCATGGGCAGTGTTATTGTGATGTTTCATATATAATGTAGATTTATCCACATACTCGTAATCAAGCAGGTTAATGCTAAGAGAAAATAAGAAGTATTGAGCACTAATTCTGTTCTTTGTTCTTTCAGTCCCTCATGTCCACAACTGCGTTTGGGCTTGGTTCGAAGTATTTTGCTCTCTATGAGGTGGCAGGTGTTGGAATTCAGTGGCATACCTTGAATCAGTCACCAGTAGAAGGAGATGATTTCAACCTTCTGCTCTCCATGGTCATGCTCATCGTCGATGCTACAGTTTATGGAGTACTGACATGGTACATCGAAGCTGTTCATCCAGGTATTACTTAATCTCTCACCCATCATATTTATGCAGTTTTCATTGACAAGTGTTTGAAGACATTGTATCAAATGGTCCATTCTACCTTCCTGTGCATGTGTTCAGCCTCTGGCTTCCTGTCACAATCCATCTTGTTGGTTATGTTCATCCATTAGCTATCAATTAGCAAGTAGCAGCAATTAAGACATTACCAAGTTCTTTGTAAGTTGAGGTTGATCCGGAGAATTTGATTTCCCATTCCATTCTAGTGACCCTGTGCCTACTGCTCCAGGGTTAAAGGGGTCAGAGTGTATGGGGAGAAATTGGGAACAGGGTATGAGTTGGATAATCAGCTGTGATCGTATTGAATGATAGATTAGACTCGAAGGGCCAAATGGCTTACTCTTGATCCTATTTTCTGTGTTTCTACTTTTTGACAAATACATGTCTTTTCTGTCATTATTTCAGTTCTGTTTTCAGCTCTGTTATTGAACATTGCCTTTATATATTGTCTTTTCATCAGAAATGCACTCTGAACTGTTGACGGCTAGAATTCACACAGACTTTTTTTTAGAAAGGTTTGGCTTTTATCTCAAGGATTTTAGAATACAAAGTGTAAAAGTGATGCGTTGGTTGTCTAGAGCCTTTATTAGATCCGCCTGGATTGCAGGTAATTAGATCAGGAAAGATGAATTTACTTTAGAAGATTCTACAGCGCACCCGGTAGAGTTATTGTAGTGCAGTGAGTAGTAGCATCCCTGTATCTAAACCAGAAGCTCCATGTTCAAGTCCCACTCTAGGACTTGATGACCAAGCAGGATGCATTCGTAATTGAACATTGGAACCAAACAGGTTGACAAACTGTAGATCCTTCTAATATATGCCAGTGGCAGGTGGTAAGAATGGGCAGGTTTTCTCATGAACCGTGTGATGGAAAGAACATTGGACTCCCTATGATCACTGACCATAGCTGGAGCCCATAACCTGGGCTTTCCAGTTAAAATATAACTTGCTGCCATCACAGAATGATATTCAGAATGATGTATTCACCAGAATGATAGAGGAACATAAATTATTCTATTATAAGGGCCAATAACTTGTTTTGTATTAGTTTGAAATGAAAGGGTTGAAGGTTGATCTAACTAGGAGGCTAACAATTATAACTAGTTCCCAGGAAGATCTGGGTTCAAGTCCCACTAGTCCCAGAGACGTAAAATAACATCACTGAGCAGGTTGATTAGAAAATAGGTTATAATTGGGTCCAATCAGGTCAAATGGTGAATTGTCCGATTAGTTGTGGAGTCCAGGCCCATTGAACGTAATCTTCATTCAGAGTTAGGACAGTTAGGTCCTGAATCAGGAATTACTTCTGGAACCACTTCTCCCAGAATGCTGTTGACATTGATTCAATTGAAACCTTCCAGAGAGTTTTTTAAAACATTTTTTTCAATTTAACCTATTTTTCCTAATCAACCTGTTCAGAAATATTATTACTCGCCTTTGGAGCAGGTGAGACTTGAATCCAGGCCTCCCAGTCCAGGGGTTGGGACACTACCACTGTGCCACGAGCGGGCCCTTAGCTTTTTTTTATTAGGTAAAGGAATCAATGAAAGATAAATGGAATTGAGTACAGATCCGTCAGGATTTAACTGAACAACAGCAAAGGTTCAAGAGGCTGAAAGATCTACTTTTGTTTCTATATTCCTAAGAAAATCTACCAGAAGCATAAAGTCCAGTAATTAATTTTGGTTGGATGGCTCATATTGTTATTCTCATCTGGTTCCAAGTGACAAGATTTTGAAGCAGGAGCTCTTGACAATGGTTCATCAAATCTTTTTCAAATTGTTACTTAAATGATGCTATGTTGATAAATCGTTGCTTTACGGTTAGTAATCATTGTTGCGAAACTGATTGTCTTTCTGTGGATTGAAGAGGAATTTAGAGGATTGACAATCCTTGTTCTCTTAAGGATAAAGATCTCAGATTTTTGGTGATGCAGAGGCACAGAACTTTGTTTGTGCAGAACCAGTCTACTCTCTGATGGATGAAGGCCTTGATATTGTTGGTCCAGCTGTACCTTGCCTTTCAGGATCCTGAGATTTTGTTAGTCAGATTTTAGTGAATTTCACTGTTGCAGCTGGTTTATTAAATGAAATAAATCTAATTTAAGAACAAAAACAAAATGAAATTTCTGAATGTGTTAGAGTGATGCAAGGAAAATCATCAAACACACTTGGATATGTACCATTATGATAGTTTTTGTTTGTGTCCTTGAACTCATTTTGTTTTGGTTCTGCACACCAGCCTAGTGCCCATGAAATGATTTGCCAGTCAATCTATGTAATGTGATAGCAGGTTGTCTGGCTTTAAATAAGATTCCAATCTGCAAAGTATTGATTTCATGGGGACAGTTTGACAGGACATGAAGTACAATCAGTTTGATCTCTCCTTGGAGATGCAGATCAAGTATAAGAACATTTTGTGTGAAAAATTGGCACCACACTTCTTGATATGAGCATTTATTCTTGGTTCAATCAATTGGCAGACTGAATATGTTAAGCTGTCCTTTTCTGTTTTAACGTTGTAAACTACCCCTTTGAATGTTCAGTCCTACTTTGACATTGCCCTTTCTAGTTCTTAATATTAATTTTGAACTCCAAGAAGTTTGTTTTGACTGGCTCAACATTGTTTTCATATGCATGAAGAGATATTCCAATTTATCATTGTGTGATAACTGTGAAGTGTGGAGATTTAAATATTTGCCAAATTGGGAAAGAGGATTTGAAAGTCATATAATTGACCATTTTAAAATTGCAAGTGGTTAATACACATAATGTGCCCTGTTTATTAGCATAATACTTGTGCAGTTATGTTTATGTGGAGAAGCAAATGTATTAAAGGTATTAGTTTCATGCTTACCATATAAAGGTAAAGTCACAGAGTCTTACCAAACCATTAGGCTACTCTCTCATTAGAGAGAGATCATTGCTTTACAATAAATAAATATATGTAGAATCCTGGCAAACTTGCTAACATATCCTTTTACATCTAACACAGATTTGATAAACAAAATTTGTATATTAATACAGAAGAAAGCAACATAACATAATCTCAGCTTTCTGGTGATGTCTCTGGATGTCTCAATTTTGTTTTCATGGAATCGTACAGTACAGAAGAGGCCCTTTGGCCCATTGAATCCGTGCCAACAAAAAACTACTCCAAATCTGCACTAGTTTCATTGTCCAGAACCTGGTCCATTAGCTTGAATGTCTTGACATTTCAAGTGCTCATCCAAGTATTTTTCAAAGGTTGTGAGGTTTCCTACCTCAGCTACACTCCCAAACAGTGCATGCCAGACTTTCTCCACCTTCTGGGTCGAAAACAAATCCTCAAAACGCCTCTAAATCTCCTGCTTTTCACCTCAAGGTTATGTCCCCTTGTTATTGACCCTCCAATTACGGAGAACACTGCTTTCTATCCACCTTGTCTATACCCATCGTAATCTTATACACTTTGATCAGGTTCCCCACTAGACTTCTCTGCTGTTTCAATAAGGTCGTCTCTCTTTCTGCTGAACTCTAATGAGTACAGGCCCAATCTACTCAACCTCCCTGCATTTTTCATTCGATAATTTGACCAAAACTGCAGTCCGTATTCTGTGTGTGGTTTAAAAATGGCTTGTGTAGTTTTACAAGAGTTCACTTTTTTATATTCCGTTCCATTTGAAATAAAGGCCAACATTCCATTTGTCTTCTCTACTGTCTGCTGAATTTGTATATTAGCTTTTTGCGATTTCTGCATAAGGATTCACAAATCCATCTGTGCTGTAGCTTTCTGTAGTCTTTCTCCATTAAAATAATATTCACCCCCTCTATTCTTTCTGCCAAAGGAATTTGCTGCAATCCTTAACATCCTTAGTTGTGTAACCTCACATGTTTTCCCACATTGTATTCCATCTGCCAAGTTTTTGCCCACTGTAGACATCTTGTGCTATTCTCAACTCTTCTCAACTATCTTTGTGTCATCCTCAAACTTCACTGTGTTCACTTTCTTTATCCAAGTTGTTAATACATTTTGTAAATAATTGAGATTCCATCACTGATCCTGTAGCGCTCCACTAGTTACAGAAAATACCCCCTTCATCCCAACTTTCTATCTTCTTTTAGTTAGCTAACCTTCTGTCCATGCTAATATACAGAAGTTAACACCATAGGCTTTTCTCTTATTAAATAGCCTTATGTGCAATACCTTGCCAAAAACCAAATCAAAATTTCAAATATATTAGATCTACTGGTTCCCCTTTATCTATCCTGCTTGTTGTCTCCTCAAAGAATTCAAATAAATTTCCCCAGCATGATTTCACCTTCATAAAACTGTGCACTGCTCTAACATCCTTTAGAATAGATTCTAATATTTTCCCAAAGACAAATGTTAAGCTAACTGGTCTATAGTTAACAAGGTGTAGAGCTGGATGAACACAGCAGGCCAAGCAGCATCAGAGGAGCAGGAAAGCTGATGTTTCGGGTCTAGACTAGCCCGAAACATCAGCTATGCTGCTTGGCCTGCTGTGTTCATCCAGCTCTACACCGTGTTATCTCAGATTCTCCAGCATCTGCAGTTCCTACTATCTCTGGTCTGTAATTAGCTGTTTTCTGTCTCCTTCCCTTGTTGAATGAAGGTGTTACATTGGCAGTTTTCCAATCTTGTTAGACTTTTCCAGAATTGAAGGATTTCTAGAAGATGAACATCAGTAAACCCACTATCTCTGTAGTTACTTCCTTTGATATCCAAGGTTGAAATCATCAGGTCCAGGGGAATTATTAATCTTAAGACCCATTAGTTTCCCTAATTTTTTTCTCTCCTGTTAATCATGGTTTATATTTCCTCCTCCCTTTTGCCCCGATTATTTTGTATTTTTGAAATGCTACTAATGTACTCTCCCACGAAGACTGATGTAAATTATTTATCCAACTCCTCTGCCACTTCCTTGTTCTGCGTTATTTCCCCACTCATTCTGTCAT